ACTCGCAGTTTAACATAAATAAATTCGGATAAAAAATCATACTTTTCACTTTCATAGAAAATTATTTCATTTTTCTAATTGTTTTTATTATAAATCTGTCATAAAAAAATAGTCTGTCATAATGTCAAATATAAGTTAAGTCAAGTCTGTGTCTTTATGTAATAGTTGACAAGAAATGAGATAATTTATTTGGAAAACGTCAAGTTAAGTTTTTGTTAAATTTGATCAGATTAAAGTTTAAAGAAACTACTTCTCTAAGTATGTACAACTTTTCTTATGTCCTATATCTTCATGAGAAAACGTTTGTTCTGTTACATATGTATGAGTTACGTTTATCGTTATTTCGTTATATGTCTATTTTCTGTCGCGTAATAATTGTCGATCAGTCAAAATAGTCTCGTTCGATATCTTATCATCGATATCATTACTTGTAGAAAATGATTAATAAAAATTAAGAAACTTGTAAATAAATCACAATCATCTTATGGTTATATAGAAAAAAAAAAATATTAAATTATTTCACACTATAAAATAAAACAAGCTTCGGTCGATTGTTTTGACCAAACATGAAAAAAGTAAAAAAGTATCTGTATATCACATAATTAAATTGACAACATGATTTACATTGAAGCTGCTTTCCTGATTGATATCAATCAATCGAAAATGTCATTGAGAATATCCCTATAAGTCTGCAATGCACTTTGTTCAACATATTGGTCACAGCGCGATTATTTTTATTTCTTTTTGTGATAACTGGAGAGACCACCGCCTCCGCCGCCTCCGCCGCCGTGGCCCCCACCGTAACCGCCACCGCCGCCGCCGCCGCCACCGCCATGGCCACTTGAAAAAGAATCAAAACCACTGCCAGAACTGTAACTTCCGCCATGGCCACTGAAAAACATATTAATATAATATACTGTACTACATATAAGACAGATTTACACATTGGAGATTTTTTCATATTTCCTATGTTAAAATTTAATGCATCTTTCAATTGACTAATATTAATGCAATTGATTTAGTACAATTTCAAATTTACCTGCTGCCAAAATCAGATATACTATTGCCATAACTGCTGGAGCCAATATGATGATCGTCGCCGCCTCCAAAATCGCCATGTCCGCCAAATCCACCGCCTCCATGACCACCAAATCCACCACCGCCACCGTATCCACCTCCTCCTCCGAATCCGCCGCCGTGGTCACCTCCAAAACCACCACCATGTCCGCCTCCATATCCACCTCCAAAGCCACCGCCGCCACCGCCACCGTGTCCTCCATGTTCGATAATTATACCACCGCCGCCACCTCCGTGTCCTCCCCCAAATCCACCGCCTCCGCCATAGCCACCGCCACCTCCGTGTCCACCTCCGTAACCGCCGCCGCCGCCGCCACCGCC